AATTGCTGGCGCGTAAGCATAAGCACACGCCGCTGCCACCATCGATGCTTGCTTCATCATCGATGAGTGTATAAGTGACCAGAAAGGAAAGATGATTGCATGGCTATAATGCCATGGATCCGTGACATTAGTAAATATATATAGGTATATATAGGTATAGGTGTAGGTACATATATATATATATATATGGACGTCATGGAAATCAGGAGACGTAGCAAGAGGCTGTTATTCTTGCTAGGGCACCAAACTAGCAGTCTGATAGTACATCCAATGACCCGCTTTACTTTTTTCCCGAGTTGAAAAAGATAAACATTAAAGCATGCTGAAAGTGAATAACAGCGCTCTTCAGCGCAGTCAGTCAAAATATTTATGCTTTTAAAACGCTGCTGATTTGTGGAACATTGAAACTCGAAACTCAGACCTTCTCTACAGCACCTATTTCACTCTTTGTTTTACGTAAATTTCGCTGCACCTTGTTCAACTATATTAAATAGCATGACACTTTCCGTTTGTCTGAGTTTCTCACTACTTCAATGGAAACCCTTCAATTTTTCCACAAATTCTGCTCTTCTGCCTACTTCTTGCTTTCATCCTGAACATCATCCCATCAGGAGTTCTGCTATGGAGTGTTGTTGCATCTGGAAACACAATCGGTTCAGCGATAATCCGCCTTTTAGCCACATACCACTTTAACTTCACCTCTCTCGCAGAAAATTCTTTTTGTGCACTCTAATATTTTCGTTCATATTTTTTTCTTATTATTCTCAACATTTACCTTCCACATGGAGTTGCGTGGTTTCTTGTTTCTAAGCAGCTTTGCCGCTGAGGGCCCATGCTTCTTATCCATGCGTCGCCACAGATATTGAGCACCTATCGAATGCGTTCAGTTTCAAGCACACGAACAGTCTCTTGAATAGAACAATCTTGAATCTTTCAAATGAATTATTACAGTTCATTCTTCTGTTGATTTTGTAGAGTGGTTTCTCATTGCACAGATCAGTCATTCTATGCGGACATATGTTTGCTTTTTTCCAACATGGATTGCATTGAATTCAATGGCTATGTCCCGTATAATTAATTATAACAATATTTGATTTGCTAGTCGAAGGAAAGACGTCGTGATGCAAAGTTTTACCCTGTTTCTCAAAAGCTCGTTTATTAGATATGCGCACTTCTGTCCAGTCTTTTATATAATTGACCGAGCCTCAGCGTCGCTGGTTCTGTGTAATGTCATTTGTTCATGCGGTTGTCGATCCAGTCAGCTGCCATGAGATTGTACGAGAGTTTCACTTCTGATGTAAAATCCAAAAGAGAAGCCGGTTTTCACAAGATGTCGATGTGCCTGTTATTTTTTTTATCTGACTTATCCTCGTTACGGGGGCTCCATGAACACAAGTCGACACTACGCCAGTGCATTCTGTTGTCTGCCATCTGCTCCATCGCTGGATAAATAATTTGACTGTCGAATAGCCCGCCCCAGCGTGTTTTCGGACCACCGAATGGACACTGTGGTCCAGCGAAGCTGAGCTTGTAATTCTTGACAACTACTGGTTGTCGCTCACGATAGCTACATGACCGATCCATCTTTTCTTGACGTCTTGGAAGGCAAAATCACGCCTGTCAAGTTAATGCAGGCCGTTGTCAATTTGTGTCAAATTTGTGCACTCACAACCTGGTCCCAGAAGGACACCTCGCGCATTCTTTGCTCCCTCACTTTGCCTGAACATCAGTTTGCCTTCCTCGGCCATATTAACAGACCAACATTCAGCGTCGTAAATCACTGCGGGTAGAACGGTTGAATCGAACTGTTCTTTTTTCGCCCGTTTGTTAGCTCACTGTATAGTAATGTATAAAACGACCGAGCTGATCATAATAGTGCGCCAGGCTTTGACCCTGGTTCAAATCGATTGAACGGAATAGCGTTCGAAATGAGACAACTGAAATGCTTACTTCTTTCACTCAAGCACAGCGAATCGAGGGTAATTTGGGCAGCGGTGTGATTATAACTCTGTTAACGAGTGAACTACCTGAAGATGCCGGATCCGATGTTTCACATCGCTCCTCACCTCCGCTGAGGTGCTGAAAAATATTCTATCGCAATGGGTAGGGTAGTAAGCGATGATGACTCGATAAATCGATTGGCGTAATACATCAGGGAACATGGGGCAGACAACGAATCAGTAATAAGAGCGAATTTGTTTGAATTTTCTAATTGATGCATGGATTGCACGCTTTGATGTTCTACTTTATGTGAAAATACTAAGTACTACTTAACTGTTAACTAACGAAATTGAAACACTTATACTCGAAGTTCTGCTCCACTTGCTCTCCGTAGTCCACCCGCTGCATCTCTGTCGCAGGGAGCAAACAACGACGAACGCTGATTGCTAAAGAGGCAATTGTAAAACCAATCGGCATATCGCCCTCTCACATTTGAGGCAGTTGTGCCTAGGGGAAGAAGTCTCTGACTGCAAGTCACGAGGGCGAGTATGCAACTCTTCCCATATTCCTCAACGAAGGCGTTGGGAAACATTGCTTTTCATGGAGTCGTCGAATTTCTGGAAAGAGTACAATGTCTCTTGATCATGACATATTTTAGAATATGAATAGCATTATGTTTCATGGACGATATAACACGATAGAAAGAATATTATGACCTTATTCGCTGACGCGGAATGGACAGGAGCATGAAATTTGCATCGCAAGGATATCTAAACATATTCATCTATGTCGAGATCACTCCCATGGAAAAATTACCTGTGTCTTTTATCATTTCTGAGTAATTGCCAAGCCAGCAAATGGCGGAAAACGGTCATTCTATTTTTTCTCTAACCCTGTATATCTTTGGCAAATATTCTGTGATAATAAAGAAAGATTCTAAGGAGTATAAGTGAGGCAAAATTTTTTCCCAATTCTCATCTACTTCAGATGCTAATGGCTTGTACCACGGTGGCATATGGAATTGAAACGTATGATAATTCTCGGCCCTGGTGAAACCAACCAGCACTATTCTGCGTTGTCAAAATGCGCAAACAGGTCGATGGATTTTTTAGTTTGTAGTCTCACCTCTGGCGATTATGTTGAACTCAAGATGATCTGAAAATGTTCAAATTGACGAAATGGACTATCTTGCGTCGTTCGAACTCTGAGTAAAGAAGCAAAAGCGTCCAAAGTGTCTGCTTATTTTTCTTTACTCATTTCTGGCAATTGTATCTACGCTACTGAATCAAAAGTAATGGCACGACATGTGAGTTTTCGACGTGGCAGTACAGCAGCAACATGCATTAGTCATTCTGAAAAGTTTCAACTTAGCTTGCAACAGTTAGCCTCGAGGACCATCTTCTACCTTCTGACTTTTATCTAAAATGATAGAAGAATTTATTTAAAAAAAAATGTTTAATCTCTTGCCAGCATCGACCACCCGCTTGAAACCGATGTCTTAAACATTCATTCGTTTAGCTACGGCGTGTATTTCAACAAATTTCATCACTAGGAGCCACCATAAAGCCGTTCGCTTGTTTTACGCCCTTTCAGTAGTTTCCGGCAAAAGTCGATAACTATGAAAAGTCGTCCAATTAGCGTCGACACTTCGTTCAATTTAACGTTTGTTGGCTGCTTGGTGAAGATAGCTTAATGTTCATATTTGCAGCATATTCGCTATAAAATGCTATGGAAATTAATATCCGCAATTAGTAGGCAAGTGAAGCAACAGGCAATAAATATTTAATAACTTCACCAACGCGGAAAGAGTGACGAACGGAAGAAAACAAACCGTCATAATGAGGTGCGTTATTGAGTACTTAGATAACGTTGGATGCAAATGACAAAGCCACAGTGACTCAAGCATATCTTTTTGTACCTTTGGCTTTAGTATCTGGGATCCGCACAGATAGTGAAGGAGACTTCACTTTCCCACGTCATTCCCTCCGTCATTAATCAGGTATGTTGTATGATTATCACCCTGATGAAGCGTCCTCATAAGTGCACGTGTGCTATTATTATTGCAAAAACAGTTTTCAGCTAAAGTCGATTACTTTATCTTGAATATCCAACTATTTCGATGGCATACTTTGTGCGCTGTAAACTGAAATTTACGGCGTGCCGACTGTACATTGGCTGTCAGAAATTTTTAAATAAGGTCACGCCTCTGCGCTGCTAGATTCAATACACATTTTGCATGTGTTCAAATGCAGAAGACCATCAATCACCAATTCCATTTACCGTAAAACAGCATGGGCGATGCCAATTTCGTTAGCCATGCATCAGGTGAGGAAGGATACCTTACGGCCATTTCAAGTTGATG